TCTTTACAATAATGTTATTGAAAATAATAAGATTATATAGAATATAATACATTTGAAACCTATAAGTAAATTTAAATTTTTAATGTATTTTACGACTGCGACGAATTCAATCCCAAATGAATTTCAGTTGCACAAAAAATACTATACTGGCATTAAAACGCATAAGTAATCTGAAACTTGAGGAATGCACAGATAACATTGCAATTTAGAAACAGTAAGATTAAATTAATGTTAGTTGAATACATAAAAATTCTATGTTATATACCATATAAATATCGGATTAATAAGCGCATATTAATATAAATATATTAATTTGCACTACTAATTATGTAATATCAACCAGGAGCAAATAGATGAAACACTAAACAAATAAAATGAGCTAATTCTAGTGTTCTAAAATATTACATGCAGAATTTAGACATAACATATAAAAAAATATTTTAAAGTCATTTAAATAAATAAAAGTACATCACAGTTCTTAACTTTGTAAAATTTGATATAATACCTTCAATGATTAAAACAAACTAAATGCATGAAATAATTATGCGAACGGCTTGAAATTGATTTCAAATATATAAACTATTATATAAAAAGTAAAGTTGCACAATATTTTTAATCATGAAGAAAAGCGCAGGCTCACTCTGAGTAATATTCTTAATGCAAAGAAAGATAGATGATTTGTATTTTTTTGCTTCGCGATAATGAAATATAGGCAATATGCAATATGCCTATGCAAATATGCAATCAATATAATAGAAATATCTAATGCTCGACCTTTTAATCAAAATATCGGTATTCAATACTTATTACGTAAGCTGCTTTTTAATTAGATAATTTTTGATATTTTTTTTTGTCTTTCAAAATTGTTAATAACTCTATTTAAATAGCATTTTCTCTGCACAAATCAATCAACTCATTTAATTAAGTTCCTTTAGTATTTACCGAGTGGAATTTCAATTACAGTTGTCCCCCAATTGCATTTTGAAAAGCAAAAATACGCCCGAGAGCAACTGGTATCACAAGTGAAGCGGAAAATTTACTTCGCACACTCCATATAATAGTAATCATGGGGAATCCGACACTAAAATATGATAAAATTGCTATGGGGGGCACACAAAAGCTTTATTATAGTATATCTATCGTATCTTGAACTTTGCGATATAAGCTACAATACGGGAGAAGTCTTGAAAATATGGAGAAGATATCAATATTTTGATTTTCCAAGTCCAACGTTCTAATTTTAATGCAAACTTTATTTGAAAAAATATATTAAAAATTATGACAGCATTTGTTAATGTTATAAGAGTGACATGTGTCCTCCAATCGTATTTCTTGGAATAGAGAATTGAACCATTTTTGATTACAATCAAGTTTCAAAATTTCAATTTGTCATAATCAATGAAGAACGTTAAGAAAATAATAAACATAACCTCGGTAATATAACTAAGATTTCTTTACATAATGTGCAATAATCGCTTCAAAGAATAAAAAAATATAAGTTGCAATAAATAAATATTTGCTTAAAAGTTCTACTAGTGAATATCGCAGTGCAATATAAACCGATTACGATAATTTCTGATTAAACCTTGTTTTATTTGTTTGAACAGCAATCAGAACTTAAGTATGTTGTAGTAATACTTTTTTAAAAGGCTATCAATTGGCCTATCTCTATTTGATATATTTTATTATTAAAATTTCTGTAATTGCTGATGACGACTTTTGTTTATTTTTCTATTTCTATGCATTATGCAATAAAAGATAATTTTTCGATTATTTACAGCATAAACATTAACAATTTCAATAATGCAATTGTGTGTTGCATTGAACAATATAGATGGATGGATTATTATGAGTTATTATTTAGCGATTCATAATAATGCAATGATCAAAAAAAGTCCACCATTATTAGTTCAGTGTAACAACAAAATTTAGAACAGAGCAAAATAATTACGTATGGGAACTCTAACAAAACCATTAATTAAACCAATTACAATTCAACCAGCGACAGTCAAATCAAAATTAAGACAATACTTTTCTTATATATTCGAGTTATTTATGGATGATGATATAAAATCAATGCAATATGAGATGTATGTGAATGTATTACGTTGATTACGCAAGTTTTTTTTCTAACATGTCAGCAAAGAGAATTAAAGAAGTCTTGTAAAAAAGCGGATATCACTCATCAAAAATCGTAGGTAACGGTAATATCTGAATACCAAAAATATAGAGAAAGTTTTATCCGTTTATTTGTCGAATATCACGAAACATAAAGTCACTTTTCATATGCACTTTGGTAAAAACTTCATGAATGCTGATGCAAAATATCATTGTTAACCCAAAAGCGAAGTTTTTGTTTTGAAGATTGCAATCGGAAAATGCATAGACAAAGGTCAGCATATATGTATTTGCCGAAATTATAAATAGTCAATCGTCAATTTGTAAAATAAAATTTACTAAAAATACAAGTGCCTATGTATAATGAAAATAATATATTTTACAATATTTACTTTTTATGAAAAATTTATATGGACCAATTTTCTGATCCAATAAGATTTTTTAACCAAAATTTGCTCAAGTGTGATCTTAATAAAATCTTTGAAATATTATTTGATCTACATATAAATGATCTTGTAAATTAAAGGTAAATATTCTGTCTATAAAGATATAATCGAAAGAAACAATCAGAAGAAGAAAATAGTTTTTCATAGTAAAAAAGCTTTGCTTGAACTTGAATGAATTTAACTAATAAATGGAAAATAAATGATAAATCCAAATATAATGGCACTTACTTATTGTAACTTATACATACAGAATTGTATGAGATAAAAATAATGTAGAATGATAGGGAGAATAATAAACAAAAATTTTAAAACATATATTAATTAGTATTTCATGAGTAATATACCAGGATGATAAGATTAATAAGAGAAATTAATTGGACTTAAGAGAAACATTGAGAAAACAATCTTATCAGCAATTAATTGCTATGAACTTTTGTATACATAACAAAAAATTTAAATAACTGCTAATTAGTTAAACGTCGTAAGGATATGTAAGCTGATTGTAAATTAAATTAAAAATTCAAATGAATAATAGAATAATGGACAGGATGTCATAGGGGTGTTAAGGAAATTAACTAGTTTTCAGCTAAAAAGTTAGAAAAGTGTACATTTAATACTTTGTTGTTCTTAGAAAATAACTTGTACACTATTATTAAAATTGAACAATAAAATTGGACCGTTTATCGATTTTTTCCTCGCGTGAAAAATACAATTATCTAGGTGGATCAGAGTTTGGCGTTGTACAAACTAAAAATCTGATTCACACACGCATTAATTTACACATAATTTAGGGTAGTGCGTATAAAGAGTGCAATAAAATTGCTTATCAAGAAAATAAATATATGTAAATACTACCACACTGAGTGTGGCATGCTTATTATTACCGCTATAAAACTGGTCGAGGAATCGACGACGAAATAAACAAGGGAAACCAGTTTCCTCAGAATCAAAATATAGATATGTACATTTTCTTAGAAATTCAGATTGCTAAATTATTACAAACTTCTGGTACATATACAAAAGTTCTGATCAAAATAATAATGCACTTGATAGTAAAGCTAAAATTGTTTTAATAAGCAATACAAACAATTGATTATTGTTTTCTATGGTGAACACAAGAATTATAATCAAACCCACCTTGCCACTTCACACATAAATAATGAATCGAAGTTTTGTACTGTTATTATATCGACTGTTTATACGACAAAGCATTATTAATAATGCAAAGAAAAGCACTTATGGAACTGAAAACCAATGACACACGCCACCGTAGATTATTACAAAGCGATTTCTGAATTATACACTTTTGCAGTGACTTTATAAAGAGCTTTTAGAATCCGATTCATTTCTGGTTTTAAATTCGAATTCAAATAATGGACAAAATGACAAAGAGAAAAGTCACAGTTGAAAAAGTTAAAAAAATGTATGGTATTCAGAAAAATATATGTAATTTTCCTAAATTCGTATTATAGTACTATTGGTCACAGTTTTGTATATTACATGGAAGGGAATATAAAAAATAGATAAATCATGGTAATCTTGGTAATCAAACCAACGAATTTATTTTGTATGAAGAGCATAATAAAATAGATCATAAATATTATGGCATCTTTAAGAAAGCAATATCATTTTATTGAAATTGATGGACATAAAACAAAGACAACAGCCACAAATGTTTAGTATTACTTGGAGCAAAAATTAAATGATATATTAATATAATATAGATAAACCAGAATGATTAATAAATTCAGTTGCAATCAAACAAAAGTTAGATATTGAGTTTTATACAAAAAGCCAAGTTCTATCTAACTCTGATAAATATTATTAATTACTATCAAAGCAAACAAAAGTCGTTTTGAATTTAATGAGTCAGAAAAAAATAAATGCATCGAGTTTTTAATCTCATGTTTCAAAACAGCAACGTATTGCAATTTATATTCCGAGAAAGATTATCCAGCAAAGTATTCAAACATTAAAGCATGAAAAGCTTTCAAGATAAAAATATTGTAATTACATGTACTGTCATTCCCAATTGCAAAATAATTATTTTTCAAACTGGCACTTTCTAAGAAGTTAATACTTTAAAATATCTATTTTGTATTATTAAATAATAACATATTTAAACAAATATAGTAATGCTTGTTTTAATTATATTTTAAGGTAACCTGAGTGCAAAAACTTAAGAATTTATATTACTTCAGATTTGAGTATTTAAATCTCAAAATTATATTAATTAAATGGTTTTAGTTTCACTGAATATATTTTAAACAATCAAAATTATGTGATACCTAGTGCATAATTGTTTCATATTTTTATAAGTAATGCCTTAACATAAATATATCATTCAGGTATCTATTAAAAAACAGGAATAATATTTAACCAATCATGAAATTTTTGTTATATAATTTATTAATTTTATTATTAATTTTTAGCAGAATGCAGAACAATTACGAATTGAAAACCCGAGACAGTATATGTCGACGGCGAGACGAAATCCTGGATTCTATCCGAAGCAACAATGTGTCGTCTTTCAGAATTCACTTACAACGAATCGATAACATAAATCAGCAATATGATACACAACAATACAAATCGATTTTGGACATTATTTGCTCTGAAGGACGGTCTCAAATTCTTGAAGCACTGCTTCAATCCAGAGATGATTTAGATATAAATCTGATGAATGAACATCACAAAAAATTCCCAATACATTTTGCTGTAGAATCGAAAGATTTAGACACAATCAAATTGCTGTTGAGGCATCCTAAACTTGACACAGGCGTAAAAAGCAGGACCAAAGGTCTTATATCTTTTGCAATGAAATGTTTGAACGAAACTACTGAAAATACACAATATGCTTTGAGTGTGTACGAAGAAATTATACAAGAGTTGTTACGAGCTGGAATTGATCCATCAATAGCGGTAAGGAAAATTTAATAGTCTAAAAGGTTTTAATATAGTTTATATGATAGGATAATTTTGTATATTTTTTCAGGATAACAAAGGAAATACTGCCATTCACGATGCAGCGAGACAAGGCCAAGAAAGCATCGCCAAAATTCTTCTTAATCACGAACCAGAAATGCTGCAACTAGATGGAAGACCAAATGCATTAGGAAAAACCGGAAGACAAGCTATCATAGAAGCTTTCCCTCATTTATTAGACTATCTACCAAATGAAACAACTCCAAGAACACCAGATATAGAATTACTATGGCAAGATTTACACAGACACGATGAGACATCTTTCCTAAACCATTTTAGAATTCTTCTAGCTCTGAGCGGAACAGAAAAGGATAGACGAGCTTTAGTTAATGCAAGTAATAATAAAGAAACATTACTACAAGCCGCAATTTCTATAGGTTTACACGAAGTAATACGTCGGCTATTAGATGCAGGAGCTGATCCTGATTTATGCGATCCAGGAAATACAGCATCGCCTGCATTGTTGGCATGCCGAAATGGCGATTATAAAACTTTGAAGCTCTTAATGAATAATAAACTTTGCACATTACGTGGACCATTGTTACAAGAAGTTGTCAAAGAAATAGGGCGCGAACCTGGTCGACCAGATTGCGATTATCGGCAATGCCGAGACATGCTTATAAATAGAAGTGAAATTGATATTAACGGAAAAGATATAAAAGGTAGTACAGCTTTGCATTACGCGGGACGAAATCGTGATGATGAAACTGTTATGAAGTTACTATCAGCGGGTGCCTTTATAGGTAGTCGAAATCGCCTTGGGGATCCAAGTATCGCAGATGTTTCTGCAGATACATTGGAGCGATATTTTGATCAATGTATAGAAACAAATGGTCATAGACCTAGTGAAGATACGTTCACAGTAACCATTCATTATGATTGTCTAGTTCCACCTACAAAAAATACGGCACTAGGCAGTCGAAATGATAATAACTCTGTGTCCCTTATGATGCAAGAGGAGGAGCAGAAGGAACCGGCGCGTTTCGCTGAAGAAATGAGCGCGATATTGTATATGAGTGAGCATGAAGAATTAAGAAGACTTTTAAAGCACCCTGTGATTTCGAGTTTTTTGTACTTAAAATGGCACCGACTACGTTGTATTTTTCGTACAAATCTTACTTTATATTCGCTATTTTGCACGTTCTTGATATTATTTATTCTTATAGGTTACGGTAGGGAAAATGAGGACCCAAATGTACATAACTTCTCACAATGTTTATGGCTTCTTACAATTTTAGGTTTAATGTTGCTAATTATACGTGAAGCTTTCCAAATTATCATTTCACCCAATAGATATTTTACAGCTTTTGAAAATTATTTAGAACTTGCATTAATCGGTGTAACATCAGCTGTTTTATTTTGCAATATAACATCAGAAGCAAGCAGACAACAATTGTCGGCAATAGCCATACTTTTATCAGCGGCTGAACTAATGTTACTTATAGGTCAATTACCAACATTCTCCACTAATGTCGTGATGCTACGAACGGTTTCATGGAATTTTCTTAAATTTTTAGTTCTTAATTCGATTTTAATCATAGCTTTTGCTTTGAGTTTTTACACTCTTTTTAGAGAAGATCCAGAAAATGTTGATACAAAGTCAACCGAAGCCCCGAAAACCCAAGACAATAAAAATCAAGAGAAAAAAGATGGTGAAGAACAAAATTTCTTTTTACATCCGGCAATGGCTTTATTCAAGACTATAGTTATGTTAACTGGAGAGTTCGATGCCAGTTCTATCAATTTTGGAATATATCCAGTCACAAGTCATATCATATTTGTATTATTTGTTTTCCTGATTGCAATTGTATTATTTAATTTACTCAACGGATTAGCAGTTAGCGACACTCAAGCTATTAAATCAGATGCCCAACTTGTGGGATTAGTGTGTAGAGCTCAATTATTAAATTACTATGAACATGTGTTAATGGGAGACATAAACTTATATGGTCAACTAGTCCATAAATTTAAATCTCTTTTATGCTGCGTACCTCAAGAAACTAAAAAATCAAAATGCTTTCGACCTTTTGCAAAACAAATTTGTCTTTTCCCTTGCTTTTTACCGCAGTATAAAATTGATATAAAAGTAAATCAAGGAAACTGCATTGAGATTCCAACTGAAAGGCGGTCTTCGTCGAGTCAAAACAATAATAAAAAACCTTGTTGTATAAATCATTGTTATAAGTATAAAATGGATTATACAATTGTTAAATCTATTAAATGTATAATTTATAGATTAGAAAATAAGAGCGAATCGGAATACGAAATTATTCAAAAATTACAAAATAGAATGGAAGAAATGGATCAAAGATTTAAAAATATTGAGAACTCTTTATCTAACATGATATCACTAATAAAAGAAATTCCACAAATATCACATTAATATATTAAGTAGATATAATATAATAATTGCAGACATGCAAAAAATATATCATTAAAATGTTATCAATGTTAGAACTTTAAGAAAGATAATTTAAGAAATATTTATTGTTATCACGAATGTAAGTGAAAGATATTATTAATTTGTATTTGTTTGCATTCACTAAAATGTTATGGCATTTATAAGTTAATTCGAAATAAAAATGCTCAAATCTTTAAAATAAAAAAGGTAAATCAAACAGATGTAATATAAGTATATATCTTTAGAATCATTGCGATTATTGTTAAGTTTACGTTGCGAATTCTAATATTTATGTACTATTCATAATGAATAAATTTTGTTTTATTATAAATTACTAGTTGTTGATAACAAACTTTAAATGTTGGATTAATTATTTAAAAATAAAAATAGAAAATACTTTGTATAAAATGAACTATATTAATATGAATTAAGCAGATGAAACATTTTTGCCACATACCTTTGTTATCTTCTGCATCAATGCATTCCAACCTGGTTCTATAACTTCCACCATCATATAGTATTCGAGATTCTGGATACAATTTAGCATTCTTTGCCGTAATGCAAATGCTGCGCGGTATTGCTCTGCAATTTTCGCGGAAAACTTCTTTGCTTCTTTATTGCAGATCCAAACCCTAGAAAAATTTAGGAAAAAGTTTCAAAGTTATGTATAGATTATTGAAGCCCATATTTAGAAATACCAACCTGCAAAGTTGCCTCTCCACGTGTTTGCAATAGAAAAGGTGTCGAAATATTATTTGGTAACAGAATATTCTGCTTCTATTAAATATTAATGATATGGGCCATTTAACATCGTAACCAAAAGTGAAGGCTTCTACACCTGACAAGTGCAATTTTCCTTCTGGGGGTGCAGTTTCTGTTGATATATTGAGAATCTTAGCCATTTGACTCTCCAATCCAAATGGCAATAATTCTGTTCTTATATCATCTTTATATGGATCCACATTGGCTCCAGAAACTCTAAATTAAAAAGATAATACAATAATTAAAAATAAAATATACTTGAATCCTAATAAAAACTAAACAAGTTCTCGATCCAATAAAATATATTATCTAACCTTAGTGTTAATTCCAAAAGACTTTCCAACCTCATGGGCAAAATGTCATCAACATTTTTTGATAGCTCCCTTTCAGTACTATCCATAAATTGTACAATAAAATCTCCTTGATCCAAAAGAAAATAATGTTTAACAGATCTCATGCGACCAGGCAAATCATAATCATTCATTAACATTTCAAGAAGAGTTTTCGAGGCATATGCATAAGCTTGCTTGATTGTTGCTTCTATGGGTGCCTCTGATAAACTGTACACTAACGGAGCACATGGAGGAGGAATAATGGTTTTACCTACAACATTTATAAAATAAAATCAGTTTTTATTAAATATAGTACGATTATTTCTCTAATTATTTCTAAGTACTTACCACATTGCTGAATAACATTTAAATATTTTCCAGTTCTAAGGATAATATCATCAACTTTTTTAAGGAACCTTGGCATTCGATTTCTCCTTAAGAGGTAACGTTTCTCCCAGTAATCTGCATAATCTAATGCTAGTGGCACATCTCGTTTGCATATGCGTTCATTGTCTTCAACCATAAATTCCTACAATTTGATTATATGTAATTGTTTTAGTTAATTAATAAAAAATATAATAATATAAATTTACCTGATGTGGATCATGTATAGTCCCTTCATGTATCCATGTATTTAATATCGACATATAAGGTTTACATGCTTCTTGTGTTAAATACACACATAATTTCTGTGCTTGTTGATCGCCAGTCAAGGAAAATGCTCTCTCATGAAGAAGACTTAATATCTTTCCACTCACATCATTTGCCTATAATTAAAAACCATAATAAAATTAATATTGTACTTATGAGAGAACAAAAATTATAAAAAGAATCATATTAGTATGTATTACGTTCTTATCTTTAACAATATTTTTTTTATTTAAAAATAATCTGTTACCTTTGATATTTCAACAACTATATCAGCTACAACTTCCAATGTGTGAACAACAGGTTTTATATAATAAATAATTTTGACCAGATTCATATTTCCATGTTTATGTTCACCTTCAATTTGGCTAATTACAGCCTGAAATTAGAAATAACAATCAAATACATATAATATTATATATAATTACGCAATTGAGATCATATTACATACAAAGTAATCTTGTAATAAATTATCCAGTGCAGCGCAAAGAGCTTGCAATACTTGACATGTATGTGAGCTAGTCAATGAGGACAGCATTTTTTTTGATTCATGAATTTCAGAATTTGATGAATTGTTTGATATATTGCTCTGACTGTTAGAATCAATACTTATAAAAGATGCTTTACTCTTATCTTCAATAAATCTTTGGATTATTGAATAATGTGAAGCTAATGGCAATATCTAAGAAGGAGATAATTTGTTAATGTATATTCAGCTAGATATCATGTAACATCAAACAAACATTTACTTGTTTTAATAAGTCAGATATATATGTTGGCAAACTAGAATTCAACACAAAGTTTCTTTTAGCAGTCGAATCAACTATATACTCAGGTGTTATAAACTCCCCTTCCAAGCCAACCAAAACATACAATATATCATTTATAATTATGTTTTCAAGAGATACAGAAGGAATTTCATCTGGAATGGAAAATATATTTAAGCATCAAATTTTACAATATACCAATTTTTCATAGTATATTCCAAGAAAAGTACTTAGAACAGTTTTTCGTAGTTGAACATCTTTAAATAAAAAGTCCCATGATTGATGAGTCCTACTATTTTTTCTTCGAATTTGATCTTGATCATTTTCACAAATATTAAACTTTTTGCGACTGCCAATATTTTTGATTCGATTGCATACCTACATTAATATTTTTAATATTATATTTATTTATTTACATATAAATAATATTGTATTTAACAAACTTCTGGTAGATTAAATGCAGAGTTCTTATTGTCCTTTGAAGCATCTGTTCTATTTACAGATGATTTTAGAAACATTTTCAATTTTGCATCAGTAGCCAACAATCCAAGAAAATCCACAAAAGGGCGAAAATTATCAGCACTAAATAATTAAGTCATAATATTATAAATCAAATCACATTAAAGTACGTAAATAAATCATACTTGTTCAATTTCAGCTCATCAAATTTTTCCTGCAATGCTTTTGGATCTTCTGTGTTGCGAATTAGTTTTTTTAGTGAATAATTTAATGAATCATCTGATTTAGATTTATGACATTTTTTATTATTTTCTAAATATTGTAGAATAATTTCTGGAGAAACATCAGATCTAGAATAGATATATTTTCATGCAATATAAAATACGAAATAAAGTATTGTAGCACATCAATCAGCACAATTTACCTTAATGCTTCAAGCAATTCTATAATTAATTTGTGCGATTGATATTCACTCATATTTTATTATTTTTATTATAATAACCAAATTATTTTTTCTTTACTGTATTAATATCAGATTTTAACGACTTTATTATTTGTATACATTTCAATAAATGTCATGCATATATGTCAAACTCGAAATCTGTCAAATTGTAAACATTACTAATAAGCTGCTCCCATTGGCTCCTTCATCGACGAAAGATGATGCTACCAACCATTATTTTTTATTGCCCAGACATCCAACTTTACACCAAAAAACTACATAATTTAAATTATAATTTTTTATATTAAAGCAACTTGTTGCTTCTAGTAAACAAAAAAAAAACTAAACTATTTCCTCTATTTTATCATGTTCAAACATGATTTATAAAATTTAATGCTCCATGATTGTGATATGCATAAAAAGGCTTTCAATAGTAAATAAGATAAACAGCTTTCTCCACTATTTATTCAAATTATAAAATATAAGTCACTTTTTATAATATAAATAGATTTATTACTTTCATTTATTTGTGTAGTGATTTACATTTCGTTATTAAAAATTTGATTTATGTACATTAAAAGTAGATATTACCAAGTGATCATTTCAGTTTAGATGAAATGTGTTTATTTTCTCATTAAAAAGTACAAGTTGGTATTGAATTCAGTAAAAAATAAATCCTCCATCTGTAATAAATCATTGATTAGAAGTTAACAGTTATTCTTTAAAACAATGTACATTTTTCTTTTACTTTATCAATGACATATTAAGTTCAAATTTACAAAAATTTCTCATCGTCTTCTATCCCTGGACCTATCCCGTGATCTGTCTTCTGAACGCTGATATTTACTCCTACTACGGGAATCATCACTACCCTTATCAGAATATCTGGCATGTTTATCCCGGTCTCTCTCCCTTTCCCTATCGCTGTATCTTTCGTACCTTTCAATTTTCACATTTTTTTCAGAAGGCTCATCATCAATTGCCTCTCTATGACGCTCAGTTCTTTTGCTATTGCTTTTCCTATCAGATTTACCATCAACACTAGATTTCCATTCTGGAGATTTGGACCTAGATCTGTACCTAGATTTGTTCCTTATTTTTTTGATGGTAGATTTACCTGGAGAATATGGTGACACTGAACGACTTCGACGCTTATGGGCCTTTTTACTTTTATGCCTCTCTGTTGGAGATCTGTTTCTTGGCGACAAAGGAGTTTTTGATCTTGAGCGTGATCTTGAACGCAACTTTTTACTATTTTTACCAGGACTATGTGGTGAATCACTTTTAACTTTAGATTTCTCATGAATAACATGTGAACCAGATCTACTAATAAAACCACCCCAAGCATTATGAGACCCTCCTGTCGTTTTTTCTTTCTGGGGTGAATGTGGGGAATCAGCTTTGGGACTATTATTATTGGAAGAAGCATTCCGAGCTTTAGCCCGCTCATCCTGATAATGCTTGCGCAACACACTGACAGCTTTTTCAAGAGAATCAGCATCTGGCTTTGGTCTAGAATATAAATTTAGAACTGAATAACATACATCATGTATATCCGCTTTACTAACATTAAATATTGAGAACCAATCTGGAGACTTTGGTAAATTAATATTGAGTTCTCTGGCAGTCATATAGATACAAGCACAAGCGACGGTCTCAGGATTGTGTCGCATAAAAACATCTGTTCGGAGAGAATCATTCATATAATTCCAAGATAATTGCATTAACTTTTCATTTTTTTCATAGCATAAAACTTGGAGAAACATAACTATTAATTTATGTGGATGCTTTACATGCACACAAAATCCCAATTCTTTTAAAACACGTCTTTCAGATTTTATTACCTGATTTTTGAGGTCTATGTATTGTTGATCGAGGATTAACGTCTCTATGGGCTTCTCATCCTTTAACTGCTTCAGATGGTGAAAAACATTTATTACATCACGTATTCTTCTTGGAGCTTCTTCAATTTTGGACGCTAAGCATATACAAGCCATGGCAGTAGTTTCCATTGAATGCCTTACGAAAGATTTGGAATAATAAAATCGTTGAAATAGAACCTGCCCTGTAGCCATTGCTACTTGAGGTAATTTTAATAATATTCCAGCTGATTGTATAAGTTCGCATCCTAATATTCTGAGATCTTTTTCAATTTCTTCATCTAAGCCATCTGCTTTGGAAGGAGTTTGTAGTAACTTTTCTTCAGGAAGAAGACAATTTTCTAACGTTAAAACTATTTCACCATAAGGTTTACTAACTTTGCTAATAGGGGCTTCAGTTTTATTCGTCATTATTCTATGGAAACATGTACAAAATATAAATTTTTTGCAATTGTTGAAATTTTCTTCGATTTTTGATTTCACGAAAACCAAACATGACATATAACGTGAAGTACGATATGAAGATGTCGTGGTCGAGCAATGATACCAACACATTAATGTCTAGAAACATTTGACATCACCAACTTCATTATTGTCATTATTGATGGAACTAATGACAATGACATCTGACATATTTCTTATCATGGATTTTTACTGTAGTAAAAACGCATAATTTTTTTGTAAGCAAATGTGCTTTGATTTAATGTGAGTCGCGTAATTCCAATACTAGTTTAGAAATCAGCATCAATATATTAAACTTCAATTATTTTCTGTCTTAACGAGTATGCGAAGTTCGAGACAGAGAGAAATGAACTACCACAATTTGAATGCAGATGAGTACAGCGATCCTTTATTACAGCCTTGTAAATATGATTTATTTAGTTTTTTTTATAGTAATTTAAATATAAATACTTTTCTACGTTATGTTTCGATTTTCTAATTATTATAACTAAAATTGTAATAATTGTTTTATAATACAATGTGTACTATTTTTAATACGTTTTTATGTTAAATTAATGAATATTTTAACTTTTCTATATTATTATAGTTCATCAAGAGTGGGCATCACAATTGTCAAGGGAAGATGATTCTCCACAATATAGAGATAGTAATTATCAACAATCTGATGATAGAGACGATCGAGAAAGTAACAGGTAATATTAAAATTTTTATATATATTTTTGCATACAATTCTAGGTTGTTAATTTAAAGAACACCTTAAAAATGAGTTTTTTTATTGTTTATTGTTTGTGTTTAACAGTATGTTTATTTAGTACTATAACCTGTGTTTTCTGTAAAAGATATCAGGAAGATAGAAGACATAAAGAGTCTAGAAGCCACAATGTAGATCGAAGTTATAAATCTCATTCGAACGAAAGAAGATCTGAGAACTATTCTCAAAAAAATCATGACAGATCTCCAAGAAAATCCAATCGCAGTTATAGTCCTGATGAAAGAGACAAAAGAAACCGTCGCCATTCTAGAGACAGATCTAGGAGATATTCAAGATCTCACTCGCGAGAACGATCTCGTAGATATACAAGATCACGGTCTAGGTCAAGGTCTCTCTCTAGATCTAGATCACGCTCTAGAAGCAGAAGATCATACAATAGAGACAGATATGATGATGATAAGTCAAGATATGGTAGAAAAGACAGGTGAGAATATTTTGACATCAACTGATAAAAAATACAACTCTTGCATTTTATCATGTTTCAGCCAAACCTCTCGAGAACCACCTTCAAATACTATAATGTTGCGGGGGCTTGCCCAGCATATAACACAAGAGGATGTAAGATTATTATTTCATGGATGAAATTGTATTCTTTTATAAAGCATTATTCATGCAGTAGTAAAAATTATATAATTTATTTTTACAGATTATTGCTGAAGTTGAACAATGCAAAATTGAAACTAAACAAATACGTCTAATTCGGAAGAAATTTACAGGTACTTCAGACTTCAGACAATCTTTTATATCATGTATTTCATACCGGAAAAGAAAGGAGCTTCTTAATAATGCCAGCTTCATTCAATGTTAAAATCTACCCTGTGCCATTAAAATTTGTTAACTGCCTAAGTGCATTTTCATATATAAAGATATTTTGAATTTAATGAAGAATAATTTTTCTGGCAAGGATTTCACTAACATACTGTCTGACTATTAATAGTACACCACATTACAAGTTGTTCTTCATTCAAGATACATAGTTATCAAAATAACTTTGATCGTATCAAAGTTTGTTATATCTTGTAATATTGTTTGATTTATTATCATGCATAGTTTGTTCCGAAACAAATTGTGTGAAGGTAAGGTGAAGGAATGCAGAATGCAATCTCCATTGAACAAGCGTGTGGAGTCTTCAGTCATCAATCTGAAACATGATGCTTGCTCAGTTCTATTTACAAATTGTTCTTGTTTAAAATTGTCATTCTATACAACCTGTTATCTTCATATTGGTGTTTAGGTGCTTCAAGAGGTTTTGCTTTTGTCGAGTTTAACACCATTGAAGATGCTCAGCGCTGGATGGAAATGAAACAGGTATCAATACCATACACAAGGCCATGAAATCTCATGGTTTAACACGATGTCTGTATTTGATTACATGATATGTACGGAGGTATAGTATAGGAATTGTTAGTTCTTGGAATATGCGGAACAGATTTTCAGTTTTATCATAATGGATATAATTAACAATATTTTCTAAAAACAAATTGTGCAAATTGGAACATTATTGATTCAAAGCAAATTGTAAGGAGTAAAATTAAAGCAGAACATAAAAGTTTTATATTAAAAACCTAAACTAATTGGAGTGGATTACTATGTTTGGCTAAAAACGTGCAAAATAAAAATGAAAAGAATTTTATTTACAATCATTTTGAAGATATTCTTCGTGGAGTGGGCTTCAGCTCCCCGTGGAGTACACCCACCTTTTTCATTTGTAATGGCACCGTGTTGGCCATTGCAATAGGTTATTAATTTTTTTATGAAGTACTGAAAATTAATTTTTTGTGATCTTTTCTTAACAGGGGAGCATTATGTTTCATGGCCAATATCGCGCATTGATGCAGTATGCGGTTCCAAGAGAATCATCAGAAACTCATGGAGATATGAATGATGTTAGTATATTCCTCCTGCAACTTAAATTCATTAAAAAACATGATTTTTTATGATCTTTATTCTTTCAGGATAATCCAGAAAATAATTTTTATCCTCCAAGATTTTTAGCTGATTGGACATGTACTAAGGTAATAGTGACATCAATATATGTCACATTTTTGTTAATTATTATTAATAAATATTGTTAATTCTAGTGTGGAGGAATTAACTTTAAGAGAAGGGAAAACTGTTTTAAATGCTCGACTTCTAGACAAGAATCATCTTTGGGAATAGAAGGAACAGATGAAATAAGTGACACTGTTACAACAAGTATGTATTAATTGCAATTACAATTTAAAATATGATTTACATTTTTAAATTTATTTGTTCTAGGAATAATTATTCAAAATTTGGATGTACTCACAAAAGAAGAAGGTCTTAGAGCTGAATTGGAATCTAGAACACCAGGATTGATATCTCTCATTGTTAGTTTAAAAATTCCTCGTGATAGCACAACATCATTATCTAGAGGTTTAGCATATTTAACTTTTAATTGTGAAGATGATTGCAAAATTGCTTATGATACATTAAATAATTGTGATCCACCATTCGTTGTTGACAATAAATCAGGTAAAACGTTAATAAAAACAAATTAAAATGATCGCAATAAGAATGTAAAATAACAATCAAAACTTTTATTTTTAGTTATTATATCATATTGCTTAGAAGAGGGTATCAAGAAATCAAACTCAAATAAAGCCATTCCCAAACCTTCACGGGGTACATCATTTACTATAGCTGATGTTCCAAAATTAGCAGCGTACAGTGCAGAATTATATGCAAAAAGTCCAGAACAAAAACAACAATATCTCATGTATTACACAAATTATTATATGCAACAAATAGCACAGGTAACCAAGAATTTAAATTTTTAAAGTTTTATTTTTTATTAATTATAAATCCACTAAGCTATATAAATTAATTATCAGGGGATAACAATTTCAATGCCGCAGACCCAATCTGATGAAACAAACTCAGCGGCTGCTGTTGCTCACCAAGCCATTATGAAAATGCAAAATAAAAACCGAATAAACAATGCTATAGATCAAGCTCATGCAATGGGTATGAGTCAAATACAAGTTCCTACGGGTACAGATGACAAGGTTTATGGTATGTGCATTTTGATTGTTTTGTGAATAACATTGTTTATCATACACAAGTATGGATGCTTTTATGATTTGATGTCTTGGGTACTGCAAGAGCAGGGCTAAGCATTGCTTGTATTAAAAATTAGTTTAGAAGATTAACTCAATGGTTTGACAAATTTGAAAACTATTTTGAAACAATATTTTTGTCATTACTTTATTTCTTTTGCCTGTTTTTTTTTTTCATATCTTTTGTTTTAAATTTTTCTACTAAATAAAATTGGAACCTGGTAAATTATATTTAGGAAAAATCGTCAAATGTAATGACTGCAGCCAACTAATGATCAGTGGCCTTATGTAAATAATTGTGTGCAATAATGTAGTAATATTTTATCTGGTGTTTTTACAGCGGTTCCAGATATCAGTTCATATTATTATGATCAAAGTTCTGGTTACTACTATGATGTGTTAACAGGTTTATATTATGATCCCAATACACAGTATTACTATAACAGTCAAATTAATAAATTTTTATATTGGGATAACACTAAACGAACATACCTACTAGCACCGGAAGGTACTGAAAGTACAGTTGCTGCAGCTAGTTCACAGCAAAGTGCTGGCGATCAAAATAAATCCAAAGGCAATGACGATTCTTCTTCTGAACCAAAGTCTAAAAGTGATAAAGTTAAAGTTGCTAAAAGAATAGCGAAAGATATGGAGAGATGGGCAAAAACATTAAATCAGAAGAAAGAGATCAGCAAACGAAATATAGAACCTACTCAGCCAACCCCTCAGCCTATTGTTCAACCTAAATCTGCAGTTGCTGATATTTGTTTCTCCATGGTTGAAAAGTCAGAACGTTCATTAGGGAAATTCGAAAATCCTCTTGCTAAATATTCTTCTACAATTGTGAGTGATACCACAGATTCCCCTTTAGAAGCACAAAAACCACTCGTTCCTTCAAAGTTTACTAAAGACCCCCCTATGGATGTTCGGCCAAATTCTGTTACAAAAGAGCAAGTTTATATAGATTTTGAAAAACTAGCATGTTTAATTTGCAAAAGGCAATTTGCATCCCGAGAAATCTTGATCAAACATACAAAAATGTCAACATTACACAAGCAGAATTTACAACTACTGGGTATTAATACTTAAGGTTTAATACTCAAAATTTTCTTTATTGAAATTTGTGATAAGTTATTTATATCACATGAAATATAACTTTTCTGTTACTAGAAAGTTATGCAACTTTAGTATAAGAATTTGAATTGTACAAACTACAAATTGTAAAAATCAATATAAGTAATAATACATTTAATTTCTAAAATGAATGAACATTATTTTATTAGAAAATCACACTCATAAAAAGAGCAAATGCTAGTTTCTTTTTAAGTACATTTCTTTCGGTCATTTAGTATAACTTCAGCTAACATTGCAGTCAATGTCGCTCTGATCAGAAAAGCATTCCAATCCACTGGCAACAGCTCTCATTAAATATGTCATGGTGCCGTATGAACCACTAGGTGCAGAGTCATAAAAATGTTGACAAATATATGCAGCACCTCCACAAATTAAACCTCCATTGTTTGATGCAGTTTCAAGATTATCACTTTCATTTTTAGCACAACATAATGTAGCATCACCAGAGCACTTTAACTGCCAATAAAAAAAGATTGCACAATACTAGATGGATAAATAAAAAGTGATAATTTAAATAATTCAACATACTTGATCTTTTAAAAACAATTGGTTAGCCCTGTGCACTAATTCTTGGACGTATATAGTGCTACCCAAACTTGGCCTAACTTTATATTCAGCTACTAATGTTAAAACCATTAATGCTTCGACAATCAGCTGTCGATATTCCGGTTGTGGTATTGAGTTCAAAACAGTTTCAACTTCGAGAGCAAATTTTAATTCACCCGAAGTCATCTCCTGAGTTAAATTTTGTGGCAAAACTAGTTCATTTATAGCCAAACCATCACACTGAAAAATATGAGTATTGCATTACTGTATTGCATAAGTGTTGACTGTGATAATTGATATCATACTTTTTCCAATACAGTCCAAACACGAGAATAAAAATCTCTAGGCACTCTGTTAAGTGCTCCATCTAATCGGCGACGTCTAAGCCATTGTCCTTGCCGATCATCTGCAACGTCTTCTTCTAAAGACTTCAATTCTGATTGATCTACAATTTGGCTCTTTTTACTTACACGATAGGATTTTGAACTAACAATTGAAAAATTTCCTCTGGCTACTGCAAATGAAAAAAAAAAATTACACTTTATTCCTAAATATATGAACATTCTATACTAACCACTGTTGATAGAGAACTCTTTTCCACTTAAAATATGGTGAAGTAAGTTTTTCATTTCAAATGGAGATAAATTCAGAAGATGTTCTGAGGCTTCTTGACCACCACAGGTTAAAGAACGAGCCAATTCAGTCGCCATTACCTGGATAACAGAACATATTAACTTTTCTTTCTCATTGAAATATATTATTTTTATACCTGTATTATTAAACCAACTCTTAGTCTCAACATTTCGTTGAACAACTGTGGTTCTGTTCGGATAAACATAGCTAAATACACTAACAATTCTTGAGTCAACATTGCAGTACTTTCATCGTCTCCATATGCTGAATGGATCAATTGCCTTAATTCACATTCAGGTAACGGTGCTACAATTGTATTTTCATGTGCTGGTGGCATACCAACAGTTACCTAAAATATTGATTGAATAATAAAACTACATTGTAATTTTTAAAGCACATCAACTTACCTGTTTTTGTCGAACTAGTAAATCTGTGACTGCTTTGGCGAGGTCTTCAACACGTTTTCCGAGCATTCCCGCTGTATGGCGAACTAGGCCCCACAATTTTTGTTGACATGCTTTTTCATATACTTCTTTTAAAAGCATTCGAACTGTTACTATTCGTCCTTCTTGTTTTATACCTGTTCATAATATATTTTATATTATACAAGAACTGATCGATTTGGGTTTGAATATCTAATAAATTTTATTACCTGTATTGTATTCTAGACCCTTTGTATCCACTAAATATTGTAGGATGTCTCCTTGTTCCTCTAGACTTACAGATTCTCTTAGCATCCCGATTAACTCATCAACCTCAGTTGCTGCAAAAGCATAATCGTTTTGTCCTCTACTTCTTGGCGTATTTATTTTAGTTGTATTCACTTCTATTGGTGAGGCATAAAATACAAGTTAATAAATTGATGTTATGAAATATTTTTATTAACAGATTGAGCCAACTTATACCTGTTCGTACAGGTGATGTTTGATTAGCATTGGATTGATTGGCATCAATTTGATCATATGAATTGCTTGATGTAATTTCAACATTACTGGCATCTAATAAAAATTCAATTATAAATGGTAAATTTTTTTAAAAATATAATCTTAAATGTCTTACTATCAATGTAAGCTGTATCAATGATAGATCTAGTTTTCTTGATGGCTCCTTTCACCGAAACCTTACGTCCAATTGTTCGCGTTTTTGATAGTGCTGTGGTTACTGTCATGGTTGGTTTTTGACTAAACGACTTTAATAAATGCTCTTCTAAGTAAGAATCGACTTGAGGGTTGAGTCCTTGAAATATTAATATTTATATTACATTATTTTGACTTTTAATGTGTTTATGAACGATGGGTACGTACGATCTGGCAAGCCATCCTCTTGACTTCCTAAGAAACTTAAATCTGTTATTGCACTGGTGCTTAAAAAGTCACCCAGATTGCCCAGCATTACTCTCGTACCATTTATATAACCATTTTTCAACTTCTTCATCGTAGTGATCATAGCTTGCGGTATTCTACCATTGTCTATAAATTTACAAAAAGCTATTAATTTTCAGTTACTATTTTTGGATATACTTAATTATCCAATAATAGTTTTTGTTAGAGTAATGTTAGTAATAAAAAATATAGGAAATTAAATATAGATAGAATATGAGTGATTGCAAGCAGATTAGTGAAAAATGAAATATGAGTGGCATTTTTATATACATAGATTTCATGCTTCCTATGCAATTATGTAATGTATAGCCCAATATAATTGATTTCATGCATAAATTACAAATTAAAGGATGTCACGATGATGAAAATTATAGGCCTAGTCAAGAGTTTATTAAAATATCATCAAAACAATCCTACAAAGGAAATTCAACAAAATGTTATCCACCAATGAGTATAACTTAAAAAGTGTAATGAAGTAATCCGAATGAATGATCATAATGCTTACTAAAGCCATATATTATAATATTTCATAAAACGTATTAAATACCGAGCATATATTGGGTTGCCACCAAAGTAATAGTTGGCCTGCCGAGCATGTGACGCCAATTCATTGCCAAAAATGCGATGTTCGTCATAAAGTTGCTGGCTAATAATGCTGCATCGCGAGTCATATAATACTCTTCATAATCGAAATTCTAAGACAAAAAAATTACTCAATCAAAAATAAAATATTGTAAAAAAAACTGATCAGTTGTGTTACTATGCACAGAGAGCCGAACACCTTGTGCACCTTTAATTTCTCTTTTTATTAATTATTATTAGTTATGATGTTCTTTTGCACGATAAGTTTAGTGTTTAATAACTTTTATATAATTTTTTGTGTTTTTCCTGGTTTGATCACTGAATGATGGCACACATTAGGTGTCGAAACGTTTAATAGAACAAAAAAAAAATCTATTTTAATATTTTTTTAATTCGACGATTGGGCTGAAAAATACTTCAAATAAATATATATGCATATATATTGCACCCATAAAATATATATTATAACGGCCTATAATTTAAAAAGAGCATTGTAATAAGTAAGAAAAGATGCGCACTAGAATAGAAACCATTCATTATGTTGAAAAGTGTTTGTACATTTTAATAAAATAGAGTATTGAGAAAGACATATGAATTACTACAAAGTAGCTGCCTCATAGAATTCTACCATGCATGGTTGCAAATCTATAATATCAAATATATATTGTACCTAAATGTACATTACGCAGAGGAAGTACAACAAGAGGTCTACCCAAAAGATGACCCCAGGCACTCTTCAAGAAGAATATTTCAGCTTTAAGAAGATCTATCATCAATTCGTAGTCCGACGCTACGTAAAATCGCGTCAAGTCCGTATACTAATAATGAATTATATTTGTAATAATTATTTTACATTTTTTATTTATTTATATATATAAATAAAAGAAAATTAGAACTTACTTGAGGTGTAAAGGCAAAAATTCGCCCGTTTAATGAATAAAGTTTACTAGTGCTTAGAATTCCTACATCCCGTGATTTCCTTCCAGATAATCCCAATTTTTCATTACGTCCTTAAAAATAACCAGTTTATTTGATAGGTCAATTTGAATATTTATTTTATATTTTGGATGTTATTTTATCAATTATAATTACCAAGATAAGTATATAAATGACTCAAAACCCTAGCCGGTTGAACTTCTATTGGATTTACTTCTTGGATTGTCTGTACAAGCAAGTCATATTGTATAAGCTTATCTCTGATAGTAACATCTTCAGCTAATATTACTACTTGAACAACCACATCAGGCTTTTTTTGTGATCCTAACCGCCTGTTCAGTGGATCTAATTCACCAACAGCTAAAAAACCCTAAAACATTTGGTGATAAAATTTACAATCAACTAAGTATTCCATGTTTTTATATACTTCTTGTAAAAGCTTTCCTAGTATGTATAAAGATTGGGCCCATAAAAATGGACATCTTCCAACAGGAACTCTTGTTTGAGATCCTGGTTGCTGATATTCTGCTAAAACGTTATCCGGTGGTACAGTATAGAGTTCTGGGACCAAGTGCATACCATCATCGGTATGAATCATTACATCCTGTATATTCATAAGAGCAAAATAAATGTATTTATTAATACAACTGCAGCCAGTTAATAAAATTAGCTTATTAATTAAATAATGCAATATATTATTAACATGCTTTAAACAACCTCTAAATAGGAAGTGTATGTAGAAACTAATTGCTTATTTCCTTGAAAAGCATAGTGTAATATCAAATAACAAAAAAACAAAGGCCATTCACATTCAATGTTTTCAAACATGCGTAATTCCCAAGGTTCATAATAGAGTCTATTTGGGTCTTCTTTTGGAGTTCTTTATAAGCAAAAAAAAACTAAAATTAAACAACAAAATTATAACATATGAGTTTTCAATTTGATATCATACTTATGTCCATCACGAAGAAATCTTTTACATCCATATTTTCCCTGAAGTTTTGATACTATAGCTTGTCTAGTAATTTCAATCAATTCAGGATCGTCCAGTGCAAAAGCTGGAAAACTAATAACTGAAAGCAGGCCAGAATCAAGTTCTTTAGAGTTTGATTCTCTTGGAAGCATTGACTAAAAAACATGTTATTAAAATAGAACTGCATTAAATCAAATATGATATTTAGATAAGCTACTTGTAACACAGCCTGGCATTTATGCGCTTCATCAGCTAAGACATGAATAACACTAAACGGGCCACCTCTAGCCCCGAATAAATCTAATTCATTCATAGCATCCAATGCTGCCTTAGCCATTCCTATAGAACTAGCATTGAGTTCTGGAAGACCATGATTTGTTTTGTCCCCACGTTCCCAAATCCCATAATCCTGGTTATAATGATAATGATATATTATGTATTCAAGAAGTGAATTGATATTTTTTACTCACGGGTGTACAATAGGCAGACTCAATATAAAATACAAGGTTTTGAATAAATGCTACTTCATCTAGAGAAAAAATAATTTGTAAACCCGATGCAGTCATTTGAGCTAGTATCAGTAGGTACAATGATATAGCATCTACCTAATAAAATTTATTGAATTAAATTTAATTTAAAGATATTAGGCATATCAGATGAATAAAATTTACTTGAAGATGACCCCATTCATCATCACTAACAACAGTTTGGCCATTTTTTGAATTATATTTCGCATGTAAAGAATCTAAAGGATTCTGTGTGGTTTTAAATTTTTCTACTTTCTGTCGCTGCTGCAACATTGCCATCAGCAACCCTGGTTAATAATAATTAACATAATTGTAATAAAAATAATTTAGTATCAGTTGGTGTGAACATTTTACCTCGCATTAGTTTCACACAACTTTGTTCTAATTCATAAGTTTTAGCACGTTCTTCATCTTGATCTGCTATTTTTTTATAAGACATTGAAAGACCCCATACAGCTAATATGCAATATACATTATCTCTTATCCACGCATGATGGTTTGTTGTACTAGCAGGAAAAAGACCGGTTACGGGGTCTTGGTGTAGCATTATCAATCTAGGAAATAAAAATATATAAAATTTGTAGCTTTAATAGAAAGAATCTTTGTCTGTAGGTATACCTATGAACAACTCTTTGATAATAGTCAAGTCTGACCCCGGAATTACTCCTGCTCCTCATCTTATTTATTTTGATTGTAATATTTATATCAATAAATTTAATTATTGGGTACTTAATTAGTTTTATTGCATATAAATATTTTATGATAAGCTAACAAATAATCATATCTGATCTTATTTTCTAATATATTTTTATAATCTAAATAATGAAAGTAACTACGTAATCTTTTATGTAACAAGGAGACGATTTTCGTGGAAGAATTAGTAATTAATAATATTATTATACATATTATAATTATTATAATTATTCCTTTATAGAGTTTTTGTATGATCTATTTTATTTTAATAGTTATTCGAAAAATATGGAAATTTCAGGTTAGGAAATTAGTGATGATTCGAACCAAAAGAGGCCCACCAGAACAATAAGTTTAATTTGTATTTCTTTCATAATAGTTATTAAAAATATTTAATTTTTGAAAACTTTGTTTTAATTTGCTAATTATAAGCAAATAATTAATTTTCTCTTTATAAATATATATTTTTTGAATTTAACGGTTTTCCGTTAATCGTAACGGATGTCATTTTTCCGGTATGACAACGCTGTTCATGACACATACCATCTTTTGTAGATCGCTTTGGATTGTACATGTGACTTCAAAAGTTTCTTAGCGGCTCTATAAAGTGTATTAAATTAATTGTGCAATTTCTTGTTATAATAACATAAGTTTTAAATCAGTTAGCCATGGCTCTACACGTTCCCAGAGCACCTGGTATCCAGCAAATGCTTAAAGATGGTGCAAGGGTGGGTCTTAAAATTTATATTTTCAGGTTAACACTAATAAATAGGATGTTCTAGAACACATGATACTAAAAATTTGTTTATTTCATATTATTTCAGAGAGAATCCCTATTTTGTTGCATGAAATGTTTAGGATAAAGGAAAATATATCAAATTTCAATATCTTATTAATTCTAGAAGTGTTTTCACACTATTGTGTGATTTAATTTAAATCATCTTCCGCCTTCTTCATTTTTAGGGTTGTACAAGACTGAATAATTTGGTAGCTTTATAAATTTCATTATATTTAAGTATAAATTACAAAAGTTTAATTATATTCAAGTACAAATTACAAAATAGTTTCTTCATAATGGAGTTTTATTGTCGAATTGCATTTTCACAACCGTTTCTTAAAGAATTGCTAAATATGATGTAAGATCCCTTTAATTCCAAGGAAGTTTACAATGGGATGTTAAAAGTTTCAAAACTATCTATTTATTATTTCAGATGTACACTGGGATGGAAGAGGCAGTCGTCCGCAACATACGAGCTTGCAAAGAGTTTGCTGAAACTGTCAGATCTGCTTATGGCCCAAATGGAATGAATAAAATGGTTATCAATCATATTGAGAAGCAATTTGTCACAAGTGATGCAGCAACTATAATTAGAGAACTTGATATCGAACACCCTGCAGCCAAATTAATTGTTATGGCTAGCAAGATGCAGGTAAATATAATAATAGGGTAATTGATACAGATTCCATAATATTTATACATATAACTCTATGTAGGAAGCTGAAGTTGGTGATGCTACTAATTTTGTCATCATTCTCGCTGGAGCTTTATTAGATGCATCAGAAGACTTAATTCGTTTAGGTATTACTGCTTCAGAAGTTGCAGAAGGCTATGAGAAGGCACTCGAAAAATGTATTGAGTTATTGCCATCTCTGGCTTGCTACGAAGTCAAGGTACTTAAATTTATTATTGTAATATGAATTTATTTGATATTAATGATAAATATATTCCAGGATTATAGAGATCTTGCATCTATTAAAAATGGAATTAGGACTTCAGTAATGTCTAAACAGTTTGGTCAAGAAGATTTACTTAGTGATCTAATTTCTAAGGCTTGTGTTTCAGTCTTGCCAGAAAAAACTACTTTCAATGTAGATAATATTCGTGTCTGCAAAGTAAGTAATTAGATAAGTTGATTCTAACTTATCTAATTTAGATATTTTATTTATTTACATATACAATTTTACTTTTAGATTCTTGGATCTGGTTTAGCAAGCTCACAAGTAGTTCAAGGAATGGTTTTCAAACGTTTAGTTGAGGGAACCATAACAAAGGCAGAGAAAGCTAAAGTAGTTATATATTCTTGTCCAATTGATATTATACAAACTGAAACCAAAGGAACAGTTTTAATAAAAACAGCTGCAGAATTGAGGGATTTCAGTAAAGGAGAAGAAACCATGTTGGAGAATCAAATTAAAGCCATTGCTGATACTGGTGCTAAAATAATTGTTGCTGGAGCCAAATTTGGCGATATGGCCTTACATTTCCTTAACAAATATGGTAAAATATAACAACCAAAAATTACTTCAAATATGAAGATTTTATTAATTTTTTATTTCAGGCATGATGGCTGTTAGATTGAACTCCAAATTTGATCTGAGGCGTTTGGCAAAAACAGTAAATGCTACTGTTTTGCCAAGAATGCTTCCTCCTACCCCTGAAGAGCTCGGCTATTGTGATATCTGTTCAACAGAGGAAATTGGTGATACACTTGTAGTAGTATTCAAATTATTAGGGCAAGAAAGCAGAATTTCAACTATTGTTGTACGTGGCCCCACTGACAATTTTATGGATGACATTGAAAGGGCCATTGATGATGGAGTTAATACTTTCAAGGTAGTAAGGGTCAGATGGCTTCTCCAAAAGATTAATGTTAACTGCAACCTATTTTTTATACTTGACATCTTTCTATGAATTTATTTTATACAGGGTATTACAAGGGATGGTAGGTTTGTTCCTGGTGCTGGAGCAGTCGAAGTAGAACTGGCTAAACAACTGTCTGAGTATGCAGATACGCTACCAGGTTTAGAACAGTATGCAGTCAGAAAGTTTGCCCAAGCATTAGAGGCATTCCCCAAGGCTTTGGCCGATAATTCTGGTGTTAATGCTAATGATGTACTTTTGAAGCTTTATGAAGCTCATACTGTAAGTAGTGTATATATTAAGTTATTAATATATTTCTGGCTTTTATATATTATGAGAAATCATATTTATTTTTTAGGCTAACAAGAAAAACCACGGCTTTGACATAGAGAGCACAGATGGCCCGAAAACCTGTGATGCCGCAGAAAGTGGTATATTAGATTTATATTTAGCAAAGCATTGGGGAATGAAACATGCGGTTAGCGCAACATGCACTATTCTACGAGTAGATCATATAATTATGGCCAAGCGGGCAGGCGGACCAAAACCAAGAGCCGGTGGAGCAGATAGTGATGGAGAATAAAAACATACTCACTCATACCAAAATCAATTCCTTCGTGCACAGACATTGAATCACATATGCATAGTTATTTATCATATTAATTTATAAATAAGTTTAAAAGTCTAAGTGATGTCTTTCAAAATTTCTATGTTTTGCTTAACCACATTGTTACATGCTTTTCATAAATAATAAATGGTTTTTTATTATACAGTATTTAATAAATTATTCTTATGAATTTGGTACTTATTATTAAAACTTTTTTTTCAAAATCTTTTGATGGCGTTTCAAAATTGGCAATATTTTTTTTTTTTGCTTTTATGTTAATATATTGTTACATGTGCGCGGACTTTTGCCGCGATTTCTACTGCGCCGTCTTAAAAAATTCCGAATATTGTTCTTTTACCGGATTAAATTGTTTGAATAACGATGTGGATCGAATATAAATAATTAATAATACCCATTTTTCATGAAAATTATCTACAAATAAGATTTATTTATTGAAAATTTGAAGTTTTTTCGATGCGGGCTCACAGTGCGACACGTGTAGTCTTGTTAAAAATAAAAATTCTTAAAGGAGTTTTTTTTTATAAAAATCTGGCAACTCAGAAGTATTTTTATATTGCATTTTTATCTATTTAAATCTACATTTTTTATTCAATCACAAATTGCCTTTTAAAATGATATGTAATTGCTTCGTTATTTTAGCAAGTGTTTGTAAAGAAGGCTACCTAGTAGTTGTGATATTTTCAACATTCCTGAATAGTATTGTTTATTTATTAAATTTTAGTAAATTGTTAATTTATATAATAAATCTTAAATTAGTGAATCGTTAAAATTATATTTGTGAAATTAATATTGAAGTGCCAGCAAATTATTCTCAAACTGAACAGGCAGAATGGTGGTACTGGTGAGTCTTTGTAGTCAGTAAAATATTTGTATTTATCTTGCAAAACCATGAAATTTTCAATTTTAAGTATATCTTTGATCAATTTTAAGATTTATTTATTCAAATCGATTTTATACATTGCGAAATTTCGATTCCTGTGAGTCCATTCCTATAATTTTCGTCCAAACTTCCATAAATCACGTAGCATTGCTGGAATCAGAGCGTCGCTAATGCAATAATTCATTTTTATATTTTCATAAGATTGTTTACGAGTAAGCTTCACTTTAAATTTGTGACATGTATATTAACTGTGACATGTATGTGAAATAAGAATCAATAAATATGCGAAACAGCCAGGAATTTTAAACATAATAAGCCTTATATGATATACCTGTCCATTCTTAAACAATAAACATTACGCAGAGTCATAAAAGTGAAAGGGTAACATAACATGATTAAGATGAAACGAATGAAGAAGTCGACGCTAATTTAAAATTTTTGTAATCCAGGATCTTCAAATGTCGATTGTAATTTTTATATATTTATCAAAAATGCAAAGCCCATTGTTAAATTAATATCATAATTTACCATTTCAAATTCGGGATGGAAACACGTAGCGGAGGCTTAGTGAGATAAATATAACTTAAATATGTTTTCTTTATTAAAAACATTCATAGTCTATGTATAATTTTTTGTATAAAAATAATTTTTTAGTTATTTGTCTTCAATTTGTTTGTTAAGTACAAATTAAAGGTGCATGGGCTATATACTCGTATAATTGTTACTTAAAAATCACATATTTATAAGTTATATTTATGTTAACTGAACTTCAGCTGCAAGTTTTCGTCCCGGGTTTAAAATAAAAAAACATTTTAAATACTATTTAAGAATGATTATATTTGAAACTTAAGGATTTTTTTAAAAAAACTTATACATTTACGTTATGAAGATTATCCTAAAATAGCATCAGATGCAATATTTGTCTTTTTAGGTATCCCTTCAAGATTTATAAAAATAATATAAAAAAAGTATTACAGTGCAGTGTGTTTTCACAATTGTAATAAAAACAGGAAAAAATGTGAAAAATTTCAAAAAAATATCACGACTCTATATAAAATATATTTTTAAAAATTCATGTTTTTTATTATATATTATACAAAATAATTTTTACTAGAAATTTACTAAAAAATTCATACTAGTTTGTGTCTGTATGTGTGGTTATGGTACAAATAATATAATATGATTAAATTTTTAATAATAATATGATAAAAGTAATATTAGGTAATAATATATAGGTACATACTTCTTTTTCGAAGAAATTTACATCGTAACAAAAGAATCGTTTCAAGTTGCATTTCAAAATGCAAGTCACTTCCATATCATTGCATAGCAATTAGTATTCACAGAAACAAACTTATATAATTTACCTGTTTGTTCCGAAGATAAATATAATTTCTGGATTGAAGCGAATTCAAATTATGCTTACTGAAATTTATTAAAATTTCTTATCAATTCTGGATATAGAATTGTGTAATATATATATATATATATATTTAAATAAATAAAAAAAAAAAATATCCATGCTAATAAAAATCTGGTTTTAAAAAATTAGACCAAAGCAGTGAAAACATTGGATTACGTTAATTGGTTTTAACTCCTAAATCATTTATTAACTTCTCCTAAGGTAGGTTATAGTAATTGCAAAAAAATGAAAAATTATTTTTTTTATATATATTTACGTTTTAAAGCTTCTACAGATTTTGGCATACCATAGAAATGTTGATACAAATTTTCGTTCCGACGATTTTGGGAACACGTATCGGCCGATTTTGAATTAATAAACATCCAATTCGTATGGACAAAAACTGATTAAATTTTGCAAAGGCAGGTTCAGCAATTTTGGAGATCTAATAAAAACTTACGCGCTTCGATATTTCGTGTCTAATACTGCTACGCAAGCTTTACATTGGCAATAAAATAAAACTTTAAATTATCAAAAAATTGCTAAATATAAAAAATCCAATTTATCAGAGTGCAATTTTTTCAAAAAATTTCAAAATTCTCAAAATTGGATTTTTTTCAAAAATTTCAAAAAAAATTAAAGGTTTTTTAACATTTTTTTCGGTACGAGAAGTTTGAGAAATTTGTTTTAAGTTTAAATGTTTCAAATCTATGGTGTATTTTATATACTTTCTTACCTTATATAATTTTTTTAAATTTTTTTGAAGTTATATTTGTTTTATTGAAGTTATATTATTCTCTTTTGTTTTTAGATTTTTTTATATTATATTAGGTCTAGTAGATACGCCACTGGTGGTATCTACTAATTTGTAAACAACTAAATGTAATTATCTATTCAGATTGCAGAATAAAATAAAAATTTAAAAAAAAATAAATATTTGTTTTAGGCCCCAGCAGTTCGACTGTGGGCTAGCACAAACTAGTCTCGGGTTCGCTATTTCGATTCCCACTACCGCCGAAGTCCGACATCAAGCTGCTTTGATGTCAAATTTACACTTGAGGTATAGATCTTAAATATAGCCTCAAGAAAATGTAAACGCTGGTTTACACCTTTGCCATAGTAAAGATTTTGCTGGTCCTTTTTATCTCACTCATGTGCTGCTTATCTTCTGATAGCAAAGTCATAAGAATAAAGGTGGTGGCTGGTTATGAATTTATACATTTTTTGCCCTCTACTATCAAATATTTTTGTTAAAAAAAAATCTAATTTTATTTGTTTACGAGATATCAGTGGTAGACCAATAATAATTAGTCTACCTTACCCATAAACATACAAATGTGATTTTTTAATAAGTAATCAGTTTTTTCTTATTGATTTCTTTATATAATTTTATTGTAAAAACAGTCCCTACCCTAGTGCTATTTTGCACAAAAGACATAGCAATTGCTTTCGTAGACTTGGCCATATTATGTAAAATCATGTCGGTCATTATAATTGGACATAATTTTTTGCAAAAATGTCATTATAAGCGACATGTCAATGTAAGCGATGTCAATATATCCGACTAGACACCTGTTTTTTTAAGGAATTTTATATGGAAACCAAACTTCCAAGTGCGATTACGTCATAATAAGCGATTGTCAATATATCCGGCATCATACTAATCGGATTCTACTGTACTTATATTTACTTTACTACATAATATTCAAAATATATACCTTTATCCTTTATTAACTTCCCGTAGGGTAAGTTATAGTAATCGCAAAAAAATCGAAAATGAAAATTTTTATATATCTTTACGTTTCAGAGGTTTCTGAACATTTTGGCATACCTTAGAAAAAATGGATGTATGTGTGTGTGTGTGTGTGTGTGTGTGTGCGTGTGTGTATGTATGTGCGGATACAAATTTTCGTCGACGATTTCGGGAACACGGATCAACCGATTTGAATAATTCAAAAAACATTCGATTTGTATTGATAAGGAGACGTGCTGATTAGTTTTTGGCGAAGGCAGGTATAGCCGTTCCGGAGATACGGGGCAAAAAGTGCCAAAAACGGTAACTCAGTTTTTAAGAGAACGGAGCGTCCGATTTTAATAATTCAAAAAACATTTTACTTGTATTGACAAGATAAAGAATTGATCAAATTTTCATAAAGGCAGGTCTAGCGGTTTCGGAGATCTAACGAAAAAAAGTAAAAAAAAATGCCATATGGCGGTCAAAAATGATCATTAGACATATGCACATCAAATTTTCAGATATTTGATAGAGATTTTAACAATAAGTATAAATTATGTTTATTTTCCTATGGGTTCCGTATCAATGTTTACCCGTTAGACAGCGACGCCGCGCTTACGTGCTTTATATTTTGTCTCTATGCAGTTAAAGCAGTACGATTGCATTGATAAACAAGTTCAGATCTTCCAAAATATGTCAAAATAAAAAAAACATTTTTTAATGTTAAAAAAAAATTTTTTTTCAAAAAAAAGTAATTTTTTGTCCAATTTATAGTTTCTCAAAAATCTAATTTTTTCAAAGTAAATTTTTTTCAAAAATGTTAATCGTTTTTAAAAAAAATAATAATAATTGGTACGGGAAGTTCCAGCAATTTGCCTTAAGGCACGATGCCCTAATTGCCTTAAGACAGAATTCCACTTACAGCTAGTCCTTTATCCTTTACTCACTCTTCGGCTATTATATGTGATTCGAACTCCTATGTTCGATCTGCGTGCGGTCCTTCGCGGGCGCATATCCTCTGATATCCTCGCCGTCCTTCCTCGGCGGTCGGCGCAAATGTGCAGCGTAGAGCGGAACACCGCGGGAC